ATTCACAGAAATAAAGCCAATTTGAGGAAGATGTTTATTTCTGAGAAATGGACCACCTCTAAATGGGCGAAGGACCCAAAGGGGAAGAGAGCAGCTGAAACYGTTATGATGCCATCTTTTTGGAATTCAGTTGTGTATACTTTGAAAGCATCGGGYCCTTTAGTTCGTGTGTTGAGGCTAGTAGATGGTGATAAACCGGCTATGGGTTATATTTACAAAGCTATGGATAGGGCAAAGGAGGCTATTAAGAGTGGTTTTAATGGAAATGAGGCGAAGTATAGACCGATTTGGGAGATTGTTGATAAAAGGTGGGATTGTCAACTTCATCGRCCTTTACATGCAGCCGGATATTATTTGAATCCATCTCTTTTTTATGACAACAAAGAGAGAATAATGCAAGATCCTGAGGTCATKGATGGTCTGATCAAAGTTATAGAACGATTAATAYCATCTATCGATGATCAAGTTCAATGTTCAATCGAATTAGAATTGTACAATGAAGCAAAAGGCATGTTTTCGAGTAATGTAGCAATAAGGACGAGGGGTGTTAAAACACCAGGTAATGACATTATTTATTACTTTTAGTTTTAAATTTTTAATAGACATATTTAAGTTTGAACTACTAAAATTCTAAATCATTTGTTTRATATGTGCACARSTGCATGGTGGTCTCTTTATGGTGTTAATGCTCCGATTTTACGAAAGTTAGCCATGAGAGTCCTTAGTCTAACGTGCAACGCTTCTGGCTGTGAGCGCAATTGGAGTGTTTTTGAACACGCAGTGAGAATAATTTGGTTTTTCCCTTGTTAGTTGAAGATTGAAACATCCACTTTTGACTCTACATCGTTAATATAAAATAATTCTTCTTTGATTATCACAAATGATTGATACAAGGCTATATAAATAGCAGTCCCAAAGAAGAAACTAAAAAGAAATTTTTGCCTATTAGGATAAGGAAATACTTACCTATTAGAACAATTAAACTCTAACCTAAATAAAATAGGAAACCTTTAAAATAAAATAAACTATAATTTAATAATTAGAAGTTCCAATTTTCTTCATTTAATACCAAAAAAAAAAAAATTTTTTTGAACAAGATATGAAAAATTTTCATTGATGAATGAAAATAAATAAATAGTTCAAATGATACTTTTTTAAAATAATACCAAAATAATAATAATATGTATATTTTTAAAAAATATATTAGAATAGATTTCTCATCTCAATTATTTCATCAATGAAAGGTTTGTTTCTAGTTCAAAAAATGAACAAATGATTTTGTACTCTCTATCGAAAGCTATTGTATGTCTACGTTCCTAAGAAATATATCTTAAATAAACTCATTCATTATAAAGAAAATGGAAAAAATAAATTAAGGGTGAACCGTCAGTATAGATCTTAAATGATGTTCCTCCTTGACTGCAAGAAAAACGACTCTTGCCCATCGTTTTGCCTCAAACTCCCATGCTTCCAATTCTTCGTCATCATAAGTAACAGAAACATTGGATGAATGATTATGACATATGAATCGTTTAGGGAACTCAATGAGACTCTTCATAAACTTTGTCTCAGTACTGCAGCAACTGCCACTGCAGCACTTCTTACCGCACCCTAAGAGCCAACTTTGCATTTTCCCTCTTAAGCAACCTAGAAAAAAAAAGAGTAGAGATAAGAGTAGACCAAAAAAGTCTATATGAAAAGATGCTAAAGGATTCTACATCAAAAAGATCAAGGGGCCTAATTTATTAGATACATTGACTACTCTTCTCATTGCTAATTGATTTTAATGTGGAACCTCGTGAATATTGATATGGTACCAAACCCCAACAAGCTCAAACGAGCATCCAGACTAAAAATGAGATCCGACCAAGATTGGTGAGTCGAAAAGAATCACTATCTTGAGGGAGCAGGTTAAGGATCCTACACTGAAAAGATGAGGGACTAAACAATTTTATAAGATACATGGGTTACTCCTCTCATTGCTAATTGGTTTTGAGATGAAACCCATGAATATTGATAAAAAGAGAATCGTAATGTCATTGCCACTTAAGTATAAGAAAATGCACAAATAGCTACAGAAATAGAAACAAAAAGAGAAAAGACATATAGATATAGGTAGCCTTTGTGCTTTTAGTTACAAACCATGAAAGAAAAACTTAGGTCGTAGATCAATACTAGTAATTTTAGTTTCCAGCTACTGTGAGCAAAATGTCTTACTTTGGCTCCACGGGGATTTAACCAATCACTAAATAACATGAAAAAGTTACAAAAATTTTAGTTGAATTACTGAATAACATCATTGACCAAACCAACACCATCTTATCAAAGGTACCTGGGCCCCAAAAGTTCCTACTCAAAACAAAATATTTGGGAAACTGAGGCTCCCCCAAAGAGCCATTGCTAGCATATTTAACATAATTCAGAGAAGAAAAGATACTTTTTAACTCCCTATCCTTTTGGTACGTTTATTCAGACACTGATCACATTTTTCAAGCTTCGTGGAAATGGACGCTAAACAAGTATTATCCTAATGTAGCCAATCAACAAAGCTTGGTTGAAGAGTAGGATTATTACTTTTTTTTTTAACAAGAAACAAACTTTTCATTGATAATGTGAAAAGGAAGAAAGAGTTCGAGGATACGGACTCCCAAAGGAAGTCAAAAAAGAAGAAGAAGAAAAGCAACCAAACGTAAGAACCAAAATACAAGGAAATAGACGAGATCTGAAGCCAAAGAAATATCAAAAAGCTAAAAGTACATATCCAGAAAAAACTTTCAGCAACAAAGCTTGCCAAACTAAAATGACAAGGAAAAGATTGTCTGCTGAGGAGGAAACCAAAACAACCACTTAACACATATTGACTGCCAGAATGAAGAAGCAAAGAAACTAAAACCTCCCATTCACCAAAAAAAAAACCAAAGAATCAAAAGATCTGAACCCTCAAAACTTGCTGCAAAGCGTAACCAACCAAAAATCTGATTGCCTTAAATAAAGTCTATCTAATCAATGATTGGAACTAAGGTAAGGTCTACATCTTCAAAATATTTATGAAAACTTTGATTATCAGTGCAAGAAGTCTTTTCGACTACCAAAGGCTGTTTAGAGAAGGAGTAGCTGTTTTCCTGGGAGTGCGTAAAGGGTCTTGATCTTCTGCAAAAAGCAAATTAAAATCATCTGTAAGGGAAACTTCTGATGAAGTCTTCATTAACAGCCTTTTGATCTTCCAAAAGTCCGGCTAAATCCTAACTATTGACACTAACATTGTCAATAGTTAGTTGTGGCAAGCATTTACGGTATTAACCGTTTTAACTGGAATGTTTCTGGGAAAAAAATTGGTAGTCGTCGTAGTCCATGGTTTTGCATTAAAAAACAGTGGTCATTGGTGGCAAACTTCACCTTTTTCAGGGTTAAGAATGGCAAACGAGTTCTATTTTGGCACCATTTATGGCTAGGGGATTCTATCTTAAAGGATAGGTTTCCATCCTTATTTCGGATCTCTTCTTCTCCTTCTATACCAGTCCATGATGCTTGGGACTCACATTCTTCTTCTTGGAGAATTGAAGTTAGGAGAATGCTAAAGGATGAAGAATTGGAAGAATATTTATCTTTGCTRTCATGTTTAAATCCGATTCAGCTTTGTGATGATGAAGATCAGTTGAAATGGAGTTTAAACTCTTCTGAATCCTTTTCGGTTAGCTCCCTCTGTAAGCCTAGAGTTGGTCCTTCATCTCTGCCTAAGGATTTTGTTTCAAGATTGTGGAATTCGTGCAGCCCAAAAAAGGTGAATGTTCTAACATGGATTCTCTTTAATGGGAAAGTAAATACTTCCGAAACTCTCCAAAAGAAGCTGCCTAACATACTCCTCCAACCTTCTATATGTGTTTTGTGTGCTGCCACTTGCGAAGACCAAGCGCATTTGTTTCTCTTTTGTCCTTATGCATCAGTTTGTTGGGATATTTTCTTTCATATGTTGAATTTAGCTTGGGTAAAGGACAAGTCAGTATCTTCATCAATTTTTCAGTTGCTATTTGGTCCTTTCTTTTCGCCTAAAGCAAGTCTTCTTTGGGTAAACGACCTTAAAGTGCTTATGTCTGAGTTATGGTTTGAGCGTAATCAAAGGACTTTCGAAGGAAAAAGCCGCTCAGCTTTCGAATGCTACAGTATAGCTTTCGAATGCTACAGTATAGCTTTCGAAGCCTCACAATGGTGTGCTCTCTCCAATCTCTTTGCAAATTATTCTCCTAGCACGATTTGTTCTAATTGGGAGGCTTTTTTGTGTAATGTTTAAGCTTCATTTATTAAGTTTGGTTTGTTTGTATCTTTTTTTATTTTTATTTTTATTTTTTTTCCTTCTTCTATCCCCTTTATTTCACCCCTTTGGGGGTTTGTATCTTTGAACAATTTTTGTTCCTTTTCATTTATCAATGAAAAGTTCGTTTCTTGTTCGAAAAACTATGGACACTAACATTGAAATCTTCATCATCATCAGATATATCGTTATCCTTGAAGTGTTTATTTGACTGCTCACTTGTTGAATTAATGATATCATGGCTGAGAGATGAATTATCTTTCTGGATCCCTCCTCTTTCCATCACCAACCTCGGTGAGTCGTGCTTCTTTCTTTTTTAATAAAAAAATGGGAGGGAAGGAATAAATTTCCTTGGCGGCAGTAAATTAAGGTTAAATCTAGGGCTACTACCAATCAGAGCGTCAATTGTCTTGGTTGCCTTATCACCCTCCAAAGGTTGAGATTCTTTACTTTGTTCATTTCTTCGATCAGACATGAGACTCGGCGAAATGTTTTCCAAAATAGGAGCAACTTTTGGTCTACGCTCTAAACTTTCATTGAAGACTTCAGATTCATTTTGCCTTCTATCAAATGAAAACCCTTGAAGAGCCTCGTCATCTGACAATAATAAATGAAGGCTTTTAACATCTAGCAGAAACTTGCAACCAACATTTTACTAGAGATCAAACTTTGTTGTTTCTCATAACTCCCAACCTCCTTCACACGAACTACAAAGCTGCCGAACTGTGTGTTAATTTCTATGCAGGTAAGAAACCACACACATTCTCTTCTACCTGAATCAGAGCTTCTAAAAAATCCAAGAGATTTAGGATTTTGTAGGAAATCTTCTTTAAACCACCAAGTTCAACGCTTATTTGCTTCAAAGCCTTGATTGTTTCAAAATTTTAAAGGCAAGTCACAAATCCTTACCCATCCTCCAAAGCATTCGACCACTTCCTTCCTACAATGGTCTTCAAAACACCACCTCTATAGCTTTATATAGAACTCTCTTGCCTTTCGCCATGAGCCATTAACCCACTCTGAGTTTAACTATCTTCCATCCTCAAACCTTAAGAGCTCTTTATCTGCCATAAATGGGTTAATCTAGCATTCTTGAGAGAACTTTTCTTTTAGAGCCACTACAATATCCTTCCAACTGTCCAAGGCACTAAATTTCGAGATGACCACGATGTTGTCCCAATCTAACTCCAAGACCGCAGAATCCTTTCTAACCCAATATTGCTTTAAAGAACTCTAAGCAGTGTTTCGAGGCGCAAGGCGCAGCTCAAGGCGACAAGTGCTTTAATCGCCTTGAGGCAAGAGGCGATACAAAGGCGAAGACCGAGTGAAGCGAGGCGCACCTTAATAAATAAATAAAAATTATATATACAGTGCATAAATTTATATAGTAAACATAGTTTAAAAAATCAATACCAAAATAGTGTCATAGTAAATGTCAACAAGATACATAAAACAACCAAATTCAATAAGTTTAGCAGGAGACGGGAGCACCGACGGCAAAGGTCGGAGACGGGAGCGGACGATGGCCGGAGATTGAGGGTGGTGAATGTCGAGAGGTAAAGAGAATGGTTAGGATTTGTGGACTGAGGTATTTCGCAGGGAGAAAGGTTCTTTTAAAATAAACACATTAAGAACTAAAAAACATAAATAAAATAAGGTAGACCGCCTCGCTTCAACGAAGCGATCGCTTGGCCTCAGGCAAGAGGCGCACTGAGGTGAGCGCCCGATTGAAGGCGCTCGCCTAGGCACCTTGCAAGCCGCACCTGGGCGAAATCGCCTCGCCTCTCGCCCGAGGCGAGCGCTTGAGTGCGCCTCAATAACACTGACTCTAAGAGGAAACCTCCTTATTTTTCATCGATAAAGTGTCCATCCCATCTTGAACTGCAACTTTAACTTTTAGGAGTTCAATATGAGGAGGCCCGAAAACACTTGTTGATGGCCTTTCGTAGCTTAACGAATCAAACAACCCTTAAGCATATCCTAGAAGGCTAACCAACCAGTTTTCCTTGGACCCGCAAAAATAACAAGCTTTCTTCTTCCCCCAGTTGAAGGTCGTACCACGCATTCAATACTACTCCTAAGGTTACCTCCAAATTTTCTCAATCTAGAAGTGTCAAATTCAATTCTTTCATTCGCAAAATAGTACTCATGCTCATACCCAACGGGAGAAGTTTTTTGTAACTCCCCTGGATCGGGTTCCCTCACTTTTGTAATTCCATATTATCAATGAAATTGTTTCTCATTTAAAAATAATAATAAAAATAATAATAAGAGGATTGGTTTTGACCCCTTTTGTTTAGCATTGGATAAAGCCTTCATTCCTTTTAAGTCAATGCTAGGTTTCGAATGGAGAGGATCAAATCTATTTACTCATTATTATCAAATGATTGAACCATATCACCTTCCATTTTAACACGTTCCAGGGTGCAGCAATCCTCCAAAATTCCTATAGCAAATAATTGGACAGATCAGCTTCCAAGGGAGAAGGGTATAATATTTCTCTGAATCTATTGTGTTGCACTTGGCAAAGGACAGTGTGGCAAATTTCTCCTTCTAGAAGAACACGGAAAAATGCCTTAACAAACAATTTTATTGCGAGCCTTGGGATCGAAGGCATTTGATGAGAAATGTTAGCAAAAGTAGAATGGCAATGACCTCTGGGTGTTCACCATCCAAACCTGCTTGTTGAGGAAAACAGAAAAGTAGACTCAGAAGACACTCCAGCACTCAACTTTCTAAATACTTCTTTCTCCTTGGAAAACCCAGCATCAGTACTTAGCTAAACAGGGAGACACACCACAAGTTCCTCCTCCCTTTAATCACTGTGGAAGGTGGAGCAGGAAGCCCACGTTCCATCATATCAGTTATATTCTCTCAATAAAGAATGGTAAAAATGCAAGTAATGTTAAGGTGGAGTGAAGCATCCCTTTAACCACTTTGGAAGGTGGAGCAGGGAGCCCCAGCTGACTGAATCAACCACATTACCTGAAAATAGTGAAAGCCAAGTGTACTAGTTCAATGGGAATTGAGCTCTCTTAACTAAACAGGCAACAGCAAGCAAACTAGAAAAAGGAAAGTACAAAAAGGCATGCTAAATTTAAAAGCAATAATATATACAATAATATAGACACTAAAGGGAAGTCATATGATATAACAGATTTTACCGTATATGTTTAATTTCTAGCACATGGACCCAAGAAGCACCAAATAACAGTAAAGATCAAAGAATTGGTGTAAGAAAGTTGGCAGAAGAAAAGTAAGCATAAAACGAAGAAATGTATCTCTCACCTCCATAGTCAGTAGCCTCTCGTGGTAGTGCTGATATAAAAAGCAAAAGAACTTCAAGATCCAAGTCAGATGTACACAAGACTGAAGCTGCAGCCTCTAGAGCTTTTGCACAAACTAACACCCATAAATGAGAAACAATTATTCACTCTTTGACCATCAAGTGATTTGAGTTTCAATTTTCAACCATGAAAGACAAAACATGACTGACAATCTAACCATATAAAATAATCATAAACCTTGAAAGCGATAACTAGGATTGAAATGCTGTTTGCTGCTCTGAACCACAAATCTCAGATCATCCAGCAATTCCATTTTGTATCCCAGAGAATAAGTTATCAAATTCCCTTGGGGATCAAAGCACTCTCCTTCACAATCATTTTCAAATCCAACTATTGAAGCAGCTGAAGCAATGCATTCAGATAGGCTGATCAACCCAACTCGACCAAATGATTTCTTCTTGGTCAAAGATGTGAGCTGCTGCAAAAACACTACAGTTGTCCTACATTCGAATTGAATATAAAACATGTAACAGTCACATCAAATCTTAAAACAAAGTTCACAGCAAAAATATCCAACAAATGATGGATTGGTTATCATGGGGAATTTTTCAAAATAGAGAACAATATCAATATTTAGAATTTGGTCTTTGGTTTTTGGATGCAAACCTAAATTGGCAATTAGCTAAAAAATTATTCCTTCCTAAAATTTAAGGATAGTTTTTAACTATGATAAATAACTTTGTTCATCTCTCTTACTCATTATTTTAGGTGGGATCTACAAAAGAAAAAATTATAATTGTGATTTCTCCAAGCTAGCCACATGGACGGCCTTACTAGGGTGTTGGAGTTAGCAATCTCCATACTAAGTTTTTCTTCTTGAGAACAATCATAATCTTTCGTTCAACCTTGTTGTGGAAAAGGTTAAGAAACTACTTCTTAGAAAATGGAGCGATTCTGACTGACTTTAATTCTTTGTTTTTTAATAAAAGAAAATACACGAGTACCAATATGTACCAAAAAAAGAAAATAACAACAATAACAACAACAGAGGAAACTAGTACACAAACTAAAAACCAGCTTCTGAACCGACATGCTTGAGAAAAAAGCTGTCCTACAAAACTTTTTTTTATAAGAAACAAAATGCATTGAACAAAAGAGGAGAGAAGACAAAATAACACCAGGGGCCAAGGAGGCCACCCAAGAGCTAACAGATTACAGCTTTCCAATCAAGAGCACGTAAGACTATACTGTACTTACAAAAGAATATCCTATGAGTAAGGCACAAGAGGCTAGAGTAGACTGTACATTTTTCACTAAAAAAATATATATATATATCGAAAGGAAAGGAGAAATTATTGAAGAATTTTGGTTTCTCTCCTACAAAACTTAAAACTAACAAATAAAAGCCTAAAATTAAGAACAATCCACCAAATACTTCATTCCTTTTAGTTACAAAATTAAGGATTGAAAATACTCCTTGACCAATCCAAAAAATCAAGGACCAACAGAACTCGATCTGCTCATCTGCATACTTGATTTGGGTTAGTTTTTTTAAACATTTGACATGAGTTTAGCTCATAATAAATTGTGTCAATCAATGATAGAGGAGATTTTCACCCGCTGCTTCAACATAAGGAGAGATGCTCTTTGTCTTTGGTATACTCCCTTCTTTGATACATTCTGTGGAATTTTGGTTGGAGTGAAATTGGGGAATTTTTAGAGAAGTTTAGTCTGCGAGGGAGTTGTGGGCTTTAGTAATGTTTAACACCTCGCTGTAGGTGTAGGATTTTAAGTTTAGTCTTGCCAACTACTTTTTTGAAATATGTAGTCAGGCTTCCTTGCACCAGCTCCCATCGTAGTGAGTGCTTAATGAAAGTTTTGTTTTTCATCCATAAAAAAAGGTTAGACATAGAAGCATCCCTTCAAATAATTTTTTTCAACCAAAAAGCATATTATATCGTACCTCGCATCAAGACAATTTGCATATTGTCGTATAAAATGGGCTGCACCTTCGATTGTCTTAGATGAGTAAACTCCTTTTACACCTTTAACAATCAAGAGAATAAAAATATGTCATCATATCATATTTTAAGTTTGCATCCATAATGCTCCACTTCACATACAATTATAATAATGACTAAGAAATTTGGACATCCCCACTTTCATCCACCAACAAATTATTGTCCACCCAGTTGTGAACAATATTTCCTTTATGTGCATCAGGACAACGTTTTAAGCAAATTGTTTAGTTTGACATAATAAGAATCCTTCGATTCAACATAACAGGTTAAAGCACACATAAGCATGATGATAGCCCAGAGGACATAAATATATCGTTGACTGACCGAAATCTTTGTGCTGCACAGGATCGTTGAGTGCTTCAATGAATGGTCCAATGATAAAAGTTTGTGGCAATGACATTAAACAGGATACATAATTCCTCCAGTCAATGCCCAAAAAGGACTGCATGATCAGGCATCTAACTGCATTAAACAAGAAGGTATGACATAATTCATTGAGCAACTCTCAGAAAATTTTAATCCAAAAAGGATGCATGATACACAGCAAAAGTTCCATTTTCCCCATCCACACAACTAACTAATGAACAAACCAATGATACCTAAAGGATTATCATGGTGGAAACCCCGAACCCACAAGATTGATAACCAACTAAAGATTTCGCCGGACATTTCAATTTGGTTTTGATAAAAGCCACCAGTGAAGCTGTCAAATTTAATTGAGGTTGGATCTCGTAGTAACAAGGATATCTGCAAAAAAAACATTAGTTGGAAACAATACTAAAGCAACTAGTTAAACTTTACATGCAACACACATTTATTGAAATTTGAAAATAACCTTCATTAATTTATTTTGATATTAAAAATAATTTACTTATTATACATTAAATATTCTCACTTTGCAACAAGAAAACAAATTGATTGGATTTATTTAAAGTAATAATATTATTTAGTAGCATACCAATAACAATCAATACTTTGAAATTTATTTTTAATTAATTTAGAACTTGATAAAATAATATATTATAACATATTACAATATTCCTCTATTTTCATTGGACTAAGCTATATGGTAATAAAATTAGTTCCTCATTTCATGCCATTTATTATGGCTTGATGATGATCCGGAAATAGGTCATCTTTGGATATTGTCCTGGTCACATGGGCAAATTGACATAATAAATGAACTGATTTTTTCTAACAAGAAACATAGTTCAAAAGTTACGAGAAAGATCAAGAAGAACAAGACTATCATTAGTAGTCAAACGAAAATTATAGAAAAACACAAAGCAAATTAGCAAAGTGAAGAATTAAGAACCATTAAACCCGCAAAAAAACCCCAATTGTTACAAATATCATTGCAAGAGTAACCGACAAAAATGGAGGAAAGAGAACGCCATCTTGGCGTTTTGCGTTTAATCAACAAGGGATTTGTTTTCGGAAAAAAACCAATGATTTCAAATTCCAGTTCTTTGGTAGAAGCAACAGAAACCCCAAGTTCAGATTGTAACTCAGAAATGAACATTTTCCTCTTCTTTACAGCTAAAGTTGTACGAAAGAAACTTGAATTCTCACGATGAGAAAGTGCTTTGTCAAGTGAGACTTCATTCTTTCAATTTTCTAAATGAAAGCTTGATTTCTTATCAAAAAGAATGTTGACCACCTTTTGTACTGACATAATAAATTCGCTTCATCCACATTAGATCGTCTAAACAATGTTTTTTCAAGGTGAGACTTCATTTGATTTATATATTAACCCAAAAAACGAACCATCATGGGATAGCTCAAGTGGTCAATGAGGGCCAATGTAAATAGCAAAGGACTTAGAGGGAATGGGTTCAAACCATGGTGGTCATCTACCTAGGATTTAATATCCTACAAGTTTCCTTGTCAACCAAATGTAGTAGGGTCAGGCGGTTGGCCCGTGAATAGTCAAGGTGCGCGCAAGCTGGCCCGGACACACGGATATTAAAAAAAATAAAAAGAAAAAGAAAAAATAATAATAACCCAAACAACGAGTGGATGTGATACTACTTTTCTTTCTTTCTTTTTTCGATAACTATGAGTCGAAGCTTTGCTCCACCATACCCAAGGGAACCTGCGCCTGCCCCAAGGCCCGGACCCGATAGACATCAAGGATTTTTGGTATTAAGCTCACCAGAAGGTCCGAACTTGAGATCTTTAAACCAGTATAACCAAGTGACCCCAAGCCTTTGCCAACTGGACTGCCCCTTGGAGGCAGTGGATGTGATACTACTATACATGCAAACATACAAAATACATAACAACTAGGCATTAATTATTTTATTTTAGTAACAAAATTGTGTAAAGAAAGTAAAGGAGAACTAGACCTCCTCCTAATTGAAAAAAATAATTTATGACCTGGTGATTCCAAGCAGCTTCAACCAAGTGTGAACCATATTCTTCAAGCATTTCATACAGAAGTATGAATGCTTCCCACTTTTGCTGCAGGCTATTAGTAACAATTTCATGTTGGCTACAAGTTTGCACTACACCAAGCGATTTTGCTTCCTTGTTGGCCCATCTTTCCCTTTTTGTAATACCTCGAGCATTATTATCTTTTCCACTTGAAATTGTATTTGGAACACTAGACGTATTGCCTCTTCCATTAATAGATAGAGCTTTCTTCAATATATGTACTGATTGCTTCCTCACCAAGCCCTCCTTATCCACCTAACCAGGCTCAAGAAATGAACAAAATCAACCCGACCACAATTATGAAATTAAAAAAGAAAAAAAAATAGAAACAAACATGAAATCAAATTGTTTCAAGTCATTCTAAAATGCCTAATTGTACAAGCAAGTGAATCTCAATCGACTAGAAACCGTCAAAGGTATGTTTGACTACCAAGCCTCTCTTAATTTCAACCCAGAAATCTTTATCAGCCTTTATGTCAAATTCTTCTGCGTCATCACACATTCCAGCACCTTCAAGCTCTTCATTGTGAGGGAAAAAACTTAAATAAAGAGACAAAATCGTATATGCATCTCTTCTCTCCAAAGTTCCAAATGAAAATAGTTTTTTGCAACAATTCCATATTTTCATGAGGAAACGATTCCTGTGAGATAATCATATGCATTAGGAGAATAATGAGATGAAATAGAATTCTTTAAACAAAGAGATGCTACATGTTTGGATCATAGAGTTCAAAGGACTCTTACGCCTAACCTGGAGAGACTACAAGCATACCCTTGAATGGAGATCTCTAAATTGTGTTGAGAAAGAAGTGCTTCAAAGATTACTGGTAGAAGATAGCGAATGGCACAAGACCGATGATCTGAGCTTTGTAAAAGCATTTGGTCAGATAAATTGCAAATATCCCGAATCAGTTTAACGGTAAACTCTTCAGCTTTTTGACATCCATTTGACACCACTACCTCTGTTGTTTGTGGTGCTTGTCTATTACAAAGGACAGCATCTAGCATTATAGCCAAAATATGGCATGCTAATGGTAATGGAAGGAACCCGTATCCCTTTATCATTTGTTTATCCATTTTGGGTTCATGCACTGAGCCATTTGAGCCCAGAATGACAGAACATCTGTCGCCCTCAAAGGTGCCCAACTGCTCATTTTGCAGCATGGTTGTGGAATAAAGAGCTGAACTTATACATAATGGAACTAGAGTTTCTTCAACAATTGGCCATGAGTTCGTTTCAATGACAACATCAATGAATGATTCAGAGACCTAATATCAAGAAAGGAAGTCGACGAGATAATTATCATAAAGCAACAACATATCAGAATTGAAGGTCCACCTATCATTTAATCAAATTGGCCTTCAAAAAAGATTACCTGGTTAAGCATTTCCCGATTAAATGCAGCTGCCTTGTTTATCAAAGGAACAAAACTTTTCCATATAAATAACTTCAAAGCATCAGGATCAGCACCTACAGATAGAATCAGTTTACTACAAGATTAACAGCACATTACAACCGTAAACATTCTACCCAACTAATCCTAGTTGCCAGAGTAATAGGGCACATTAGTCAGCTTGGATAGAGGTCATTGTTAAACAAAACTTCTCGTGTAAAAAAGCACAGTATTCAAACACACTAAATCATTGTGATGTGTAGGAAACAAAAAGGATTGATTGAACTTCTCCTTTAGACCCAAAAGAAACCCTAACAAAATATATGGCACACCTCCACAAAGATATGTAAAATCCCCCCCCCCCCTTACTTTTTTCTTTTTTGACAGATGTCCAATAAATAAATTGAATTTTGACTGAATAGTTGTCATTAATGGAATGTAATATATAAATCATAGAATACGAAACAACTGACATCCCTCATTTTCTAATACAGGATCCCTGGTATGCAGATTAAAAAGGACAATTATTTGGGAAAATATGAGTGCAGATGATAACTGACCATTTTTTTTAAGTATGTGGCACAGCGCGCACACCAGAGATGTGAGGTAATTACATTGATCGGGATCGAGCTTTCCCTCCTTCGTGGTGACATCCTATCGAAAACAACTACCCAGGTTAGGCAGCAACTTCAATTATCTTTCAGCCCATGTCATTTTCGCCCATTATTAGACAGTTATTGAGTTATCAAATCTCTTTTCTGGTTCAATTCCGACCTTCCTTCTTACTAAAGTTGATAGTTGTGGAATAACAACCATCCTCTAGTTCAAGTTAAAGGGATTACTAAACAAACCGAAAACATATATAGATGCTACATACATATACAAATAAATATGTATAATACAGTTTACATGCATACATAAATATACATATCAAACACACGTATGTGAATTATGAAGTTATTTGCCCCGGAAATCAAATAGCACACATGTATTTGCCTGCATTATTCACAAACCAAAATTACATTGCGATTGACAAAGTGAGGTTTTTCAGAGTAGTACATCAATATTGTTCGGAAAAGTGTCGAGAAGCGAAGCAAAAAGCTCGGATGGGGATAACCCGGTAGAAGCTAAAAGGCAATCCAAGATAGCTGGAACTGCCATTGGAGGCACTTTCCGAAAGCTTTCAGACAATGAACCCGAAACAGAGGCCATGGAAAAGCTCTTGTTGTTGAACATCTCCACGAAAATTTGGATGATGGCTCCAATCCGAAAGCTTTCAACTCAAACGGTCCGAATCATAAACCCTAGGGTTTTTGTTTTTGCTGCTTTTCCTTTTTCCCTCTAAAAATGCACTCCCCGCCACCTTCTTTGTTTGATGTCTGTTGACAGTTTTTTTTTTTTTCCCTTATAAAGAAGGTTGATAGGGTTCTTTACTTTTTTTCATAAATGAGAAAAATCTAACAAATAATATAATCTAAATTTTATAACAAAATAAATAAATAAATTTGTATTTTATTGTTTTTTTTATAATTCACAGCCATTTGATTGAAAATAGGTGTTTAAATCTAATTAATCTACGATGAAAATAAGGGAGTCGAAACGATGTTGATGGCTATCTAAGATAACAAGGAACCAAAACTAGATATTTGGTACTTTGATATAGATTGGATATAGATTGTAACAAGCACGTGAGTGGGAGTAAGTCTTATTTTCCTCGTCTAAAATGAAGATTTTCATTCTACTGTCAGTTTAGTTGGCTATTATTTTTCCTTTTAGTTGAGTAGTGTGGTGAAATATTCTAACCTTCTAACTATAGGATCTATTTATTTATTTGAGTTGTTTTTAATGATTTCAAATCATAATAAATTTTGGTGGTTTGTTATCATTTGGAATATAATAATAATTTGAAATATGCTTTTACGTTAAACCAAAAAAATGGAAACAAACAGTCTAAAATAATCAAACTTCGTAAGATTTCATACAAAATATAATATTTCTATAATATGAAGTATTGATTATAAACCGATATAATAACTACGAGGCTCGTAATATACAAAGTTTTTATTATATTTTCCTTTGTATCAGCTTCCCAACCAATAAAAATATATGTTGATGTCAATTTTTGTGGTGCATTCTATAGAAGAGTCACGTACATCTCCATCTATAAGTTAACGTGCATGCACACATAAGTCTAACATGTTATGGTGCTTTGACAAATGCACTCTTGAATTATAACTCAAATTGGGAGCAAACGGGTATAGAGCAAAAATAGTAGCAAGACAGTAATCTCAATAGTGAAAGAGTATGTTTGAGAGTCTATGTCAAATTCTCACAATGAGTTGGGTAGAGAAAGACAACATACTTTTCATAAGGGTTGCTATCTTTCTCATATGTGGAGAGAGGACGAGTGTATTCAAATGAGATGGTTGTAGACAGGGAGGTCACATATTGCGATCGTGGCATGCATGACCACCTATAGTCTTTTAATTGTCATGGTGATCATCTGAAGCCATTGCAATTTGGGTACAAGGTGTCGGTGTCTGGCCCGCTGACTATCCTTCATACAAGATGTCCATGTGTGATCGGCCACATTACTGGTGCACTCGATTTCTTATGATTATTCTTTTACCTGAGCTACATGTTTGGATGAACATTGTGATGAGCGGCACTTATATTTTACTTGATAACAACCTCAATTCCATTCGAGCCCCATTTACTTACGATGAATAATCAATTGGAATAGAAGTGTTACTTATTTGACTGCTTTTCATTATAACCCATACAAATAAGATAAAATAAAATAATCTAGCATGTTACAAATCATACTATTTAAAATAATTTATTTGACTTTTTTTGTTTCACGACTTTAAAAATAATCCATTAACCACTTAAGCTATGTTTATATTGCCAATTTTATCTCTACTAAGTTCCTATCTTTCATTTCATGTTACAAATCATAGTACTGATACTCTCCTTCTTTTTATTTATGTGGATGATTTAATTTTAATTGGCAACAATAATCATTTGATGAATGAGCTTGTAATTTCTTTGGATAAAATGTTTGCTCTGAAAGATTTAGGGTCTTTATCCTATTTCCTTGGTATTCAAGTTTCACGTGTGGAGTATGGGCTTCTGCTTATTCAGTCTAAATATGTCGATGACCTACTGCACAAGCTTAATATGTCTCACTTAAAACCTGCTCTTTCTCCCTCTATTATGGGTACACACATATCTGTCTCGGATGGCCAACCCTTATCAGACCTTTATATCTACAGAAGCACGGTTGGCGCTCTTCAGTATTTGACCAACGCCCATCCTGACATTACATATATTGTCGACCATCTAAGTCAGTTCTTAAAACAACCAACTGATGTTCACTGGCAGGCGGTTAAATGCATTCTATGATATCTAAGTGGGACTAAATACATGGGGCTTTTAATTCGTCCCAGTGATGACTTGTCTATTTCAACCTTTTCAGATGCTGACTGGCAATCGAATGTTGATGACATAAGTTCTATTGCTGTCTATTGTGTTCCTAGAGAATACATTTGTCTCATGGTCATCCAAAAAGCAAACCGCAGTGGCTTGTTCCAGCACGAAGTCTGAATATCAGGCTCTTGCTCATGCTTCTACTGAGATTCTCTGGCTTCGGCAACTTTTAAGTGAACTTGGCTACCCACTTTGTTCGGTTCCAGTCCTCTGGCGTGACAATATCAGTGCGAGATCGCTTGCCTCCAATCTGGTCTTTCATGCCCATACCAAGCACATTGAAATTGATGTGCACTTTATTCGTGACCAAGTTCTTCAAGGTAAACTAGTTGTTCGCTATGTACCATCGTATGATCAGGTAGCTGATTGTCAAACCAAACCGTTCACACATTCTCAATTTGACTATCTGTGCTCCAAACTCGATATCGTTGACCTCCCCTCTCATTTGAGGGGGGAGGTAAAGGAACTGAGTCAACTCAGTGAGAATACTCCACCTCCACAACCCTGGGCTACCTAAGCAACCATGGGCTACCTAAGCATGTTGTAGATTGTTCCATTCTAACAAATTTTGTTACTCTTTCATCTATTTCTCTCCTCCCACCATTCAACATGTGTACTATCTTGTCGTATATTTTGTTACTCTTGTAATACACATCATTGAAATATAAAATACAAAAGGGTAAAAGATCTTTCCCTTTATCCACGGATTTGTTCATTGTTTTTAACCACTTAAACTATGTTTATCTCTACTAAGTTCTTAGCTTTCATTTCATGTTACAAGAGATCATTGAATGTTAGTGTGCATGAAATAAATGAACTATTTTTTCTCAATGTATTATAGTCCAATCACACATTAAACAATTGCCTAGTTAAAAAGTATGACAATAGATATTTGAATATCCAACCTTCACAAATATGTAATACATTAACAAATTTGTTAGTACATCAACATACGAGGGTGAGTACTATATAACACACTATATTTTGATCGGGATGCATGTCTTGAGCTCAGGTTGGCAATGACTTAATTAACTAGTTAAGTTATGTTCGAGTTAACAATGACTCATCGAACACAAAATTGAAAGTTAAGCACCAATTAGTTTTTTTTTTATTATTATGGTTAATAACCCATTAAATACACCATTGAATTTGTAGGTCCGTAGTGTTATATTAATATTAGACACTTTTTTAAGTTCAATAAACCAACCATTGGACACGAATTCAAATTTTAAAAAATTAAAATTGTGAGCTATCACGAGTTAAATGCATTGTTAGAGTATAGTAATGTATTGACTACTTAAATATGTGTTAGACAGAATATAAATATTGATGGTTAAGATATATTGTTTTATTATTTTTAATATAACAAATTGAGATAATTAGGTTGAAACTTCAACTTAAAAAATAAAATATCAATTACACTAAATTATGCTTGTGTTTGCTCAAATATATTGTTAATTTAATATAGGTTTGGAGGTTTAATCTTCGTTATGTTGTAAAACAAAAAATATATATATAACAAACGTTTTAATAATCTAAAGAGAGAAATTACGACGTGTCGATCGCCCAGTGAGCGAGTGGGACCTCAGCCGCCATTTCTCCACCTTCGGCATCCAATCGAGAACACTACCATGAGAGTGACCAGTTTCTTCAAATCCACCCTGAACCGGAGAGAAAAAAAGGCGTCGGAGTTCAACAAACGGCGAGGCGGTGGGCGGAGGCGGGTACTTCAGAATCAGAGCGCAAATCCATCGTCCCGTTCGTTATGTGGAGCTTCTCAGCACACTCGCATGGAGCATCTCTTCTCATTCTCTTCATCACTACGAGTAATCCATCTCTAAATTCTCTCTACAATCTCCTCTCCCCCCATTTGATTCCTGAGCGTGCTCTAAAAAATGGCGGATCGAAACTCATGTTTCGAAAGTTGAGAAATACGCTGTATATCGAATTAGGAAATCTCAATTAGCAATGCGGCTGTGTTACTGTAATTTCCTTTTCAGGTTTGCTCGGAGTTGCTTTTGGTGGAGAAGGGTTCTGTTCAGCGCCCTCCGTTATCGACTGGGATGCGGATTCGAAGCCTTTGTATTTTAAAGTGACCAATCCCACGCTTTCTCCTTCCCATTTGCAAGGTTGGTGAATTTCTGTGATGGATTAAAGGTGGTTTGCGTGAAAATGAACTTTTCCAAAGACAGGATGAAAAACCATTATTCTCAGGAAGTGGGTCTTTTCCCTGAAGAATTCAGTCCTTAAACTTTAATAGATAAAAGATTAGTATTTGAAGCTTTAATGAATTAGTCCATGAAATTGAGTGTGTAATGATTTAGTTTCATAGTAAAAAAATTTTAAGGTAAAGTATTGACTTTTAGTATGTCACGACCTAATCATTGAAAAATACGGTTGGTCCATGAACGAATTAATGATTAAGACATGATATCACACATTTTAATGAGATTTTTGTACTACAAGGACTAGATTGTTATGAATTTTAAACCACATGGACTAAATTGTTACACAATAAAGTTAATGGACCAAATTGTTACTTTAATGATAGGGACCAAATGTGGTTTTTGACCTTAAAGTACTCAATTTGGGCGTCAAATTAAGCATTAAACTCATCTTATGCGAGTCTGTTGTTGAAATGTCTTAGTATATAAAATACCCTCTGGCTTTTCTGATACAAGATTGGAGACAGAGATTGGACATGCTCTCTGGTTCCATGACATGAAAATGGTAATTACTGTTTGAAAGTGATAGAACTTGCTTAAACCAAGCAACCTTTTTCAAGAGAAATGAAATGTAGAAACCCATCTAACCAGAGCTCTAGAGATGTCTCGACAACATTTTGGCCATGACATTAACATATCAATATTAGGCGATTACTGGATAATAAAGTTTAATATTTATATGCTGGTAAACAGTTTATTTTTTTGAGAGTGTAAAAGTAAAACAGAACATGTTCTTTTGGGAGTTTGGTTTGAATTATTTACAATAAAAACATATTACTATCTTGACTTCACACGATTATTGTCTGCAGATTTGCCTGGTTTCACGCGTAGTGTTTACAAAAGGGATCATGCCTTGATAACACCAGAAAGTCAAGTGTTTAGTCCTCTACCAGATTGGTAAGATTGGATTTTATCTCACTTTTGATCATTCGCATTATTATTATTTGCAAGATCTGTAATTGTTTTTGGATTTACTTTCACAGGACTAATACACTGGGTGCATATTTAATCACACCAGCACTTGGTTCACATTTTGTGATGTATCTTGCGCAAATGCAAGGTCTGATTAAACTTTGCAGTAAACTCTCTATGTAATACGCATATTAATCCACACGAGTAATTTCATAATATGTTGTTTATATTTCCTTTTATTCCATGAACTGCAGAGAAATCAAAATCAGGATTGCCCCCATATAATGTTGAGAGGTGTATTTTCGTTTGCTTTCTACATGTAGTCCCATCACCGAGAATTCAATGATATTTGCTTAATATTTTTATTATGTGATTGACATTTCTAATTTTTTTTCTATGGTATTCCTACTAGATTTTTATTTGTTGTTCAAGGAGCAGTAAAGCTTACCAATTCGACTGGTATCAGTGAGAAACTGACGGTGAGACAGAATGGTCTATTTTTTTGTTCACATCATTTTTTGGCGTCTAATGCTTGCTTTGTTGGTTAAGATTATATGGCCCATTTCCCTTTATACAAGTACAACGCCCTGCTTGTTATGTCTGAATACTTATGTTTGTTTAGGGATTGTTTTCGGAACAATTTGTATTTTCTAAAATAAAGTTCAATTGAAAAAGGTTTCGATAATTTGTTTTTAAAAGTTTGTTTGTTTTCCCTTTTCTTTACTTTTGTGCATCCTCAAGGATGACCTACTTTTTGTTTAAGAACAAATTATGTTTTGTTATTTCTAAGATCATAGGTTTGTGATGATTTCAATATGCATAACATTATTAACCTTAACGAGTTAATCTAAACACAATTTTTGAAAACAGAAACAGAAAACTATATTGGAAATAGTTTCCCAAACAAGCACGTGATGTTCTTCTTCCAAACTATTTGAAGATTATCATTTGCAAGATATATTTTTGAACTGGAAGTCTTTTATTTTTCTTATTTAATTTCTTGCTCTTTATTTAATTTACTCCTTTTTGATATTTGGAATATTTGGTTGGAAATAAATTATAGAATCTTTGAAGATAAGTCTTCCTCTTTTGATATTTTTTATAATACCACCCAGTTACACATTCCATGGTGGTGTCATAGACACAGAAAATTCTTTTATAATTATAGCTAGCATCTCAATGATTATGCAAGATTGGAGAGCTATTCTTTAGTATTTTGTTGGCAGGGGGAAGCTCTTCCCCCTGCCCTTAGGCTGTTTTTGTGCTTTGATCTTGTCTATAAAAGGTTTCTTATCCAAAAAAAAAAAAGTTTCCTCCTCTTCACTGCACTGTTTGATGTCTGGTCAGTGGGCAGCATGAAGACTGGGTACTTGTTGCTTGCTTGTGAAGAAGTTAATAGACAAGTATAGTACAATGAGTTTTGTAGATTGAAATAAAAATATATAGATGCTTTCACTTTAATTCATGGGAAACAGTGATTTGTACTTTATAGATAGCTAGCTGCCTATACTCTTTTTCTGATTGATAATTTTGTTTGCTGGGTGAAGTTGCTCCTGCAGTATAATAATTACTGAATAATTTTGACAATATTTGTGATATGTGAAATGCAGGTCGATTCATTTGCTTATCTACCTCCAAACTTCGATCATTTCCTCAAGTGCGACTCTTCTGCCACTATTGTGGTGTTTGAGAGAAGGTATGTCTCTATCTATAAGAATAAAACTTGCCTCCTCACTAGTAAAGACAAGCTCCTATGTACTTCCTTATGTGGTTGTTTTACTTTTATTGGGTTTTTTGTATTAAGTTTAACAAATAAGTAGATACCATCAAAGTTTTTTATCCAGTAGAATTAGACCATAGTGAAAAGTAAGGAGGAGTCTCCTTACTAATGAGGAGCAAGTTTTCTTCTAATATATAAATTATTGAGTGGCTTCATATGTGTGCTTGATCATCTTCATCTTCACTCCAGTCCATAATAACTATTTGCATATGCTCGTTTAGACTCTTTCCCCTGAAACCAATGCTCTAAGAATTTATCAGTTTCACATGCGTCATTTACATCAACAATGTGGAAGTAGGAGATGCTTCGATAACATGTTAATAGTTGGGTTATGAAAAGTTCACCTGTCATGACTTTTAGGATGTCCTCTTGGGATTAGGTATGCTTCTCTTGAGAATCATCTCACCGAGCAGATCATTGGTTCGACGGACAAGCAGCCCCTCCTTGAAACCCCCGGTGAGGTTAGTTAGGGATTTGTCTCCTTTGCTTCAAGACGGTTAAAGTTTCTTTCGAGGAGGAAACAAAAGCTTTCATTGATAATATGAAAAGTTACAAGTAAAGATACAAGAACTCAGATATTGCGAATTGATTAAATAGATATAAACTCACAAAATTTAATAAATTATCCTTGGAGATGGAACAAATAGTTATTCTTACCATCTTGTTAGATATGTTCTTATGTCACCTAATTATTGTATATTTCAAAGTTTTTCATTGTGTTACATCACATTACCAGGTCTTTAAACTTAGGAAGCTCCTTCCCATGTCCATGCCCTATGACTTCAATGTCCATGTAAGTTATGAGTTGCATTTTGAACCTCGGTTCTTCTGTCTTGATAATGAGCTTTCTCATAGTTCGACGTGTATATCTTTGCCCTCCAGATCATGGATTTCGAACCTGGAGAATTTCTTAACGTGAAGGTAATACGATCTAAGTTCAAATCTTGCATTTATTAGACTTGGTTGGTTTGCAACTTCCGTTGTATTATACAATTTATACGTCATTCGTAGAAGAATACATTCCTTATAAACTGAGGCCCTGTTAATTTGTCCTTGCCTTATACCTTATAAGCTATAACATAAAGAAATGGCTTGAGTAGTTATTCCAGTTCAAGTCTCTTGATTACATTTTTGTTAAATGGTTGGCAGGAGGTTCACTATAATCAGCATGGTTTGTTGCTGTTAGAGGGTCAAGGCATTTATCGCTTGGGTGATAGCTGGTAAACCCTCTGATTCAAATCTTTAAATAACGTTATGAAACCAGCATTTTTCTTACTTTGGGTTCTTCTGAAAGCCTTTTATACATACAAGCTTGAAACTGGTTTGACATTATCCATTCATCACAAGGTTCAGTCTATTACAAATGAATCTTTATGCACCAAACAGAATGAAGAAGTTATAAGAACCATGGATTTGAAATGTAAGATATGGTATAGCTTTTATATTTTAAGCTTGATTTTAGGCTTCTTAATTTGATTTTGATAACCGGAAAGCTGGTTTTGCCTCCATGGGTTAACCTAATGATCATGGAAAAAGTAAAATAACTCCGAGATAATAGGTTCAAACTCCATGGTGACTATCTAGTTAGGATTGATTATTAAAATCCTGGAGTTTTTTGATAACGAAATGTGTAGGTCAGGTGATTGTTCTATTAAATTAATCAAGGTGCGTGGGAGCTGGCTTGAGTCGAAAGAAAAATGGAAGGTTGTTGGAAGTATACATTGCCATTTGTTCTTATTCTTGTTACTGTTTTTGCAGGTACCCTATTCAAGCTGGTGATGCCATTTGGATGGCTCCCTTTGTACCACAATGGTTGGTGAAATGCATTTATGTTAATATTTCTTCTGATTCATTCTCGTTTCAATATAGTATAAACCATTTGGGTTCGGGTTTCTATGATATTTTCAGGTATGCTGCGCTCGGGAAAACACGAAGTCGCTATCTATTGTACAAGGACATGAACCGAAACCCTCTTCATCACAAGTAATGTGTTAATGTAACATTGTGAGATTACTATCATATGACCGGTAGGATTTAGATTGTTCAAATGAAATAGTGCATTTGACACTGCAGACCCATTTGATTTGAATAAAACTAATGTTTTATATCCTTCAATCTCTTAAGATCAATATGAATGAGACTGAATTATAACCATAAAATAGTAAAAGATCATGCTCTGATCTATGTGACGTTTGTGTTGAAGTTTTATTTAATCCTTAAATTTTCAAATTTAACCATTTAACATAGGCTAGTTCTAAATGATAGTTTTTTATTCTTTTTTGGATGCTTGAAGTGCATAAGTTACATATGCCTATGGACCATACTTATTATTTCATACTTTTTTTTTCTATTTTTTTTAATAACCGAGAGTTGGAGCTTTTCCCCGATGTCTAGGAGCATCCGCGTTCGTCCAAGCCCAAAACCTATGAGATATTGAGAATCTTTTGTATTAAACTCACAAAAAAGTTCGAATATAAGACCTCTAGCATGATATGACCAAGTACCAATTGAAGTGTCTCTTGTGGGCCATTATTTTCTTTTGTTAATATTAAATATGATGATGCGATATCAAAACCTTTGACCATTCAAAGTAGTGTAAATGGGTAAGTTGAAAAGAATGGAATAGGATTAATTGTGGAGGACATGCATGAGCCTTCTCAAATCGAGACACTCTTTCATGAAAGAGAGAAGTAATGATCCATTGGCCAAATTTAATGACCAAGCCAGGCATGTATTTCCCTAGTCAAATAACGCCCACGGTGAACTCTATGTTCAGGAAAGTTTCTGGTACTACGGAACTAGGGAATACCATATTCCTTTCTATTTATCTGCAACATCAGCAATGTATTAAAAATAAATTATGGTTCATTTCTTCTATTTATTGTGTTAACGTGAGAGAGTATAGTACTTCTTTACTAGAATTTTTTTCCATAGGTAAAAAAATGTCTTCTTCTAAAAAGTATTAAAGATATTAAGAACTCCTATATTGATGCATATTCTTTAATATTTTTGAGAAAAAAGGGTCTTTTATAGGTGATGATCCATCTTCCACATACTTTTCGAGAAGACAAAACACAATATGAGATCAACATGTCAAAATCACTCCTAAACACATCCGGAATTGATTTAGACTTTAAATCCGAAGTAAGTATCAAAAGTTATGAATACGAGATATTTTCCCCGGAAGTCAAAGTTTGAACCATTGAATGAAGATGCCCTTGAAGAAGTTCTAACCTAATTATTTCAAGAAGAAATGTTCCCTAGAAGTCAAAGTTTGATCCATTGAATGAAGATGCCCTTGAAGAAGTTGTAAGCTAATTATTTCAAGAAGAAATGTTTATCCCTGAAGAAAAGAAGCTAATTATTTCAAGAAGAAATGTTTATCCCTGAAGAAAAGATCATGACTCTCCCAGTAACCTAACGATATAAAGTATTCTCTTAAATTTATATTAAAAGGTTTTGGCATCTAAAATTTATGTTCAAATTTTACAAATATAGTCGCTCTTTAAAAGTACTGGAACCAAAATGAACATTTTGAAAATACTATGACTAAATGAATCAAGATTAAAAGTATAAGGACCTAAAAGAACGTTTGGGACCAAAATGAAGCTTTGTAAATCTACCCGTATAAAGACTAAAATAGTATTTAAACCTAATTCTTTTCAGGATCGCTTTTCTACAACCATGCTTTTCTATAACCATATTTGAGTTACTTTTGGCCATAGCTATATCATTAGGCCATGCTCTCAAACCATGAGCAAAATTGAATTTTGAAAGATGCTGCTTTTGAGATGTGATTCGGCTTTGGCAAACATTCAAACATCAGAAGAAAAGGGTCACAAATTACATTGCCGCCCAAAAGTTTATAACCTCAACAGAAAAAAAAAGATATGACAATGCAAACTGTGAACATATTCTGAAAGATAGATTCTAAGCAACAGACCCATTTTCTGTAGGTCCCCCATGAAGGCCAGGCTTAGATTGCACCCTTCTCCGACGCAACCTGTGGGATATTGCAAAGGCCAACTCCAGTGACTGAGAAGCATTCAGTCTTGGATCGCAGTGAGTATGGTAGCGAGAATTCAGATCATCGAAAGTCACTTCTTTCGACCCCCCAACGCACTCCGTTACATTTTGTCCAGTCATTTCTAGATGCACTCCTCCTGGGTAGCTCCCTTCTTGTTCATGAACATCGAAGAAAGCTCTTAACTCGGCCTAAGTAAAACGAAAAGACAACATTGACATCAATCTTACCAGGAAACTGTGATTCATGCTTACAGGAAGGCAAGTTCTTCCTTTTTGAAAGAGAAATAAATAAGGAAGACAAGTTTTTACCCTTATTGCGTCAAATGGACGAGTCTTGAGACCACAAGGAGCCTTTATCGTGTTGCCGTGCATGGGATCACTGACCCATGTGACGATAAGCCCCGCTTGGCGCACGGCTCTGATTAGATGGGGTAACTTAACCCGCATGTTATCTGCTCCCATTCGGGTGATTATTGTAAGGCGTCCAGGTTTGTTGTGAGGGTTTAAAATCTCACATAATCGAATGAGCTCCGATGGATCCATCTTGTCACTTACCTGCATAACAAAGCCAAGACTTGATCAAGCACAGATACAAGGACCGAAACAAATCGAAACTTACATCAAGATGATTAGAAGAACTGGTGTATAAGGTGGGGAACCTACAAAAGAAAATTTTCAAAAGCAACAGGGCACCATGACTCACAAAAACACATTCAAGCACGATACCTCCCAGATTTTGAATTGATCAAGCACTTCATATCAAAAGTATTGATCGCAATATATCATCTTCTTGCAGGCTCATGCTAAATCCCCTTATTCAATCAATTAATACAAAAAACCAACACAAGTTTCGAAGAAGTCAGCGAACACCAGCAGTGACAGGTATTAATGTTGGATATCTCGTCGGTAATCAAATAATCAATGACTGAACACTGGTTAAAATCTAAGAGGGCATTACAATGATGTCATTGAATCCAAATTCCAGGATAATAGCAGCTGTTAGGTACCTTAATGCCGAGAGGGTTAGATACACCCCGCAGGAACTCGACATGTGCGCCATCCAACTGTCGGGTCCTCTCACCAACCCAAAGCATGTGAGCAGAACAATCATAATAGAGGCCGGTTGTAGAGTCCTCCCTTGTCAAGGCTTGCTCATATGGTAGGTGAAGGCATTCGTGAGAAGTCCAGAAATCAACTGTGTTCATTATAGGATGGTTCATAGTAATTCCAGCAGCTGCCATAAATCCTAGCGCTTCATCTACCCTCTGAGCAAGTTCTATATACCTGCCCCAAATAAGATAATTTTCATTTAGAACTTCTATTATTTGTTCTAACTAGAGTATTTGGCCCCACTCCTTACATTCTACATACACGGTCCATCCATCACTAATCCTGATGATGCTTTGAGATGGCAAATATTTTTTAGATTTTTGAGTTTTCAACATGTGGGCTCAAACATAAGACCTCCTAACATTCCTAAGTGCTTACCACCAAGAAACTCCTTCATTATAAGTAAATTACTTGATGATTTCACAGGCAAAAAGAATTTATACCACACAACGATTCCAGTTAACTAATCAGTTAGATCACATGGATCAGTTTGAGAAGTATACTAATTCTACAAAATAAATATTATTCATCTATACACTGGAAATTATTTTTATACAAAAAACAAGAAACGTAGGAAGAGCTGACAAGTTCAAATTCGCATTGAAGAACATAAATTATGAGATGGAAGAGATGAGGTTCATAATAAGTACCTGTCTCCTTGCTCACTGTGTTGAACGAAGTCAAGATTCCATTGAGAAACTCTCTGCATTGCAGCGTATCCACCAGTAGCAAATGCTCTAAGAAGGTTCAATGTGCCTACAGATTGGAGATACGCTCTAACCAATCTTTGAGGATCTGGGATTCTCGATTTCTCATCAAAAGCGTCTGCATTGATATTATCTCCGCGATAACTCGGAAGCTTTACACCATCTTTGACCTCAAACGGATCTGATCTAGGCTTAGCAAATTGTCCAGCCATTCTTCCTACCTGTCAACATAGTTGGTTGATAAAATTCACATCAAACAAATTCCAATCTCAAACTTTTCTTACCCTTTACATTATAACCGAGGGGGAGCCCTCCCCCTCGTCAAAATTCAAAAAGTATATATAAAACACTTGTTTATGTAGTTTTTCTCTAATTTTCACCCCTAAAAATTTTTAGAATGGAAAGATTATATACATAAAAACAAAGTTATAATGCAAAATCTTGCTCCTCACCCCGACGCTGATTGGCTTGACTAGAAAGAACGAGGTTCCAAATTCTAAAATTTTGGATATATAGGTGGAGCCATGTGCAAGATCTTCCATAAAAAGTTACAGTGCATGTACGATATATCACAATATCTCATCTGACAGTGTAGTAAAATATGAATGAAATGATGTGGGACAGTGACTTTCCTCTGCAACTATGTCCAAAAACGGAGATTGAAAACATAAAAAAGTTCCCAACTGACAGAAAGAGAAAGAGAGAGAAAGAGAAATCAAAGAATCAGAGATAATCTTATAAAAAAATCAAAGTAATAGCATTCTATCATTGAAGCAATTGACCAAAAAGCGAAGGGGAAACAGAAGAATGCCACAGAAATGAACCTTTATAATAGGCATTTGGGCGCCATACGTAAGAACAATACCCATCTGGAGCAAAACCCTAAACGTATCCCTAATGTTGTTCGCATTAAACTCCTTGAAGCTCTCGGCGCAGTCCCCACCTTGAAGCAGAAATGCTTCACCAACGGCTGCCTTCGCGAGGCTCTCCTCGAGCTTGCGAGCCTCACCGGCGAAGACGATCGGCGGGAAAGACCCGAGAACGCGAAGAACGGACTCGAGCTCATCTGGGTCCGGATATTCGGGGAGCTGGAGGGCTTTCTTGGATTTCCAAGACTCAGGCGCCCAATTGAGGGACCCGGAAGCGACATGGGTGGAAGAAGACGAAGAAGAAATAGCCGAGGGAATGGTCCGGAAGAACCTGGCGGCGGCGCCGGTGGGGGCGGCGATGAGATGTGGACTGAAAGGGAAGCATTTGGCGGCGGGTGTTGTAGAGAGGGCGGAGGAAGTGGCAGCAGAGAGATTTGCAGAGCCGGAGATGATCATTCTCTTTGATTTTGTGTGTCTCCGGTCGCCGGAAAATTCTGAACTGTGGTTGTCGTGAACTGGATAATGGCCTCAAAGGCGTATAAATTTTGTTGAGGATACCTCCTACGTAGGAATCTCTATTATCTATTTTTAGTGTATTTAGGGTTAAAAAGTTACATATTTCTTCTTTAATTTCCTCCCTTTAAAAAAATTTCAATTTTGTCACTATAATTTAATTAAACTTCACAAATTATCTATATTGTTATCGTATTAATAATTTTTTAATTTTTTTTGTCATACAATATTTTATATTTGAGTGAATATGTATTAGTTGATTGTACGAGAATTAAATTGAAAATTTTAAAATTATATAAATTGAATTGAAATTCTAAATTTATAATTTAACCCTTTATTATTGTGACAACGGAATTATTTTGTCCTCTTTTACTTAAAATATTAATCTATATCTTATTTTGATATTTTTACCTTTCACTTTTAACTTTTAAAAAGCTTATTTTTATTCCTTTTCACTTTTAAAAATTTAGTATATTAATATTTTAATAAAATCCAAGTCTAAAAGTTTAAGAAAGAAAATATGCAATAAAATGAATCTCAATTTGAAAAATTATTCAATAGGTTTGGGTAATATATTTTTAGACTAGCACAATTATTAACTAAATATTTCATTTATTTCTCAAAAAAAAATTTCATTCCATCTAAAATAATATTAATTAATTTATTAATATTTTTGTTATAAATTTTATAAAATTATTATTTTACAATATTATATAGTTTATAATATATCATATTTTAAGTTTCAATTTTTTTTCTAACATCCCAGTATTTTAATTAAAACAAAAAATGAAATGAATTTATAAATGACATAATATATTAATAAGAAATGTTATTTTTTTAATGTAATTGTACTTTTAAAGTTTCAAATTCAAAATCCGAAAACGCCGAAAAGATAAAAACATTAGTTTTCAAAATCTTCACGAATCCAAAAATAGAATTTTACAAGGATCGAAATAATTTCCTTATGCAGAATTCTTATGCTAAGATTAAATATCTAACAAAAATTTAGAGACTAGAACTTGAAAAGAGAAATGTCAATCTAAACATAGCACAATCAATAACACAATTCCACATCACCAACCAATTGTGACAAGATTGGTTCAACATTAAGAAGAAGAAAAAACCCCCACGACTCAAAAAGGAACAACAAAATATCAGGAAGCAAATGGTTGGCTGAAAAGATTTCTCTGCACCCTTCACTACTTGAAAGGATAATTTTTGTTGAAACAAAATCCAAAACCACAACTGTTATCAAGAAAAAAACTGATCAGAATGCAAGAATTTCAAAGTAGGAAACCCACAAAACAAACAGAATCTTGAAGAATTTCTGCAGACAAACAGTTCTTACCATGAAAACAAACTTGTCATACCCAGAAGAAGAATCCCTTGAGCACGATTTTAACTGAAAACTACCGAACTACTCCTTCGAAAACCAGGACAATATGTGAGAGAAGAGAGTATGTTCATGCTCTAGTGAAATGAAAAGAACAAAAATCTCTTAATTTGGCTATTAGACATCAAGTATAAAAACAACATTGGAAAACTGACCAAGGAAAATTCCAACAACTTAATTATATTCCAGTTCCTAAATAGAAATGTATAAAACAGCACCTATTCCCTCTCCCAAGCAAAAGCACTTGCACTCATGATAAAAGGTGAAGGAAGAAATAACTTGAAATCACAAGTTCGAGCAAAATTGCTGCCTACCCGAGCTGCTAAAGGACTCGGCGGGCGGTCAACCTTGGTGATTTTGTCTATGCAAGCCCCAGAAAACTTCATATACTCCCAGTGAACCAAACCTTGAAACTGTAATGGGGCATCCATATTGACACACCAAATAATCGAAAAATGGCTCTCAAGAGAGCTCTTGAATCTTCGGGCGCTTTATTGATTTACCTTTTCTTTTGCTTTTACTTGAACGACTGGTTTTTTTGGACTTGGATCTTTTGAAGTTAACTGATGATCTGTTACTGTGGTCACTATTCTGATTGTGACCCTTGTCATCGTCATCTTTATCGTCGTCGCTGCTAATACTATCACCACTACTCTCTTCAGACTCCGATTCACTACTACTACTACAAGTCAAAGGAATCACCGGCTGATTACCAACTATTGCAGATTCAGCAGCAGCCACAGCTTCAGGAGTATGAAGATCGGCAACACCCAACATCAAATCCTGTTTAGTAGATCAAATCATGATATTATGAATAATAAAAACTAATCTACCATAACCACAAAATATTACAAGGAAGAGCAAATTACCATTTCAATAACTTCTGATTCATTGCCATCAAGTGCTTCAATATCATATTTTTCAGAATTGTCCTATGACAATTAACAAGCAAGTATAGGTTAAAAATTACGAAAGCTATTCGTGATTAGATTCAAATTTAGGTAATAATTGGTCAATGTGGCAAACCTTTGCATCCAGTTGCAGCTTTTTATTAGCTTCTGATATTACTCCTAAGAAGTCTTTGACTCTTCCCAACACTGCACCAAAGTGAAAAGGAAGTGATCAGCGCTTGCAACTCACAAGAAGGAACAAACACCAAAATATATTCAAATTCAATGCAGAATGTTCTATGTTCTAAATGTTGTACTCAGAAAGTAAATTGCTTACTTCAAATGACATAAAAGGGGGAGGTAAGTTTCCAGGCGAAAAACCATGGTAAACAGTTAGAAACAGTGCTACAAACAACACAATATTTCATCTCATAATAGTGCTGTAAAGTTAGTAATATTTAGTAACAATGCTACAATGTTATATAGTTAGTAACTTTCCAACCACTATATGTTCCTTCAAATGACACAATAGTGCTACAAAGTTTGTCTTTCTATCTATGTGCAGGTAGACTTAGTCCGCATCTTCACAAGACATGTCTATTTCACCGGGCATCTCTCCGAAATTGTACCCATATCGTTACACTTTTCGTGCGGGTCGTATCTCATCAATTCAGTATGAGCACACAAAACACAACTTGAAAATGCTAAAAAAAAAATTACACTTAAACAACCAATATATTTCCAGCCCACGAGAAAACCAAGATAGGATATCAACCAGCTATTAAGTAGCGTAATAACTATGTCTATGCCCAGTTTGAACCCTGCTAAATGTCAATGCATTACAAATGCAATGCCCATGTCCAGATTTCATACTTAAAAGAAAACTGAATTCAAAAGGGAAATATGTACCTTGGCTTTTTGAAGCCGAATTTGTAATGGGTTTTTCATTCCGACAGGGCTGCTTGGAAGTTGAGTCCTTTTTACAGACTAGCAGTGAGGACTCTGATTTAGAACAAAAAAACAGTCAATAACTTGGCTTACAATCACTAATAATTCAATAGGCTAAAACAGAAGAAACCCAACAAATATAAATACCTAGGGATGAAGAGGATAAATTCTTCCGCTCCAAATACAAAAGATCCTTGCTGGCGCGCTGCATCCTCGCTTCTTCTAGCTGCAAAGAGAAATCCTCCATCCATTAAATTCAGAGAGTGAGCGAAACAAAGGAATGAAGAGATTGAGCGCGTCGAGGAACCTACGATTTGTGTTCTGTACGAGAGAAACAGTTAAGGCCGGGCGTCAGCCGGCAGCTGTCTCCGGTGACTGAGAAGAAGTAACGGAACCGGGAAATTGGTTTCGAGAGACGACGGAGGGTTTTATTTGGAGCACAATTTCCTCCAAAATTATAGGTTTAGGTTTAGACTCTCTCTCTCTCTCTTTCTTTTTTCTTTTTAAGATTAATTTAAGCTCTATTTTTTTTTTTGGTTCAAATTATATTTTTAACCTTAAAATTTATTAATTTATAAGTTAAACTTAATTTTAATTTATATGTTAAACTTTCTAATAGGTTTCTAAATTTTACCAAGTGTTTAATAGATTTAAACTCCCAGTAATTTTGCTAAATATCCAGTAATTTTGCTAAATTTTTAAAAATGTCTAATAGTTAGAGTTTTATTATAAACAAAATTAAAAGTTTATTGATATAATAAATACTTTAAAAATCCTTTTTTGACTTTATAAAAAAGGTAAAATGTATTTTATCTACACAACTATATCAACTTGACATGTTACATTATTTTATTTGCCAGTTTTTCGTTTCGACGAGATGGATGGATTCATTTAAAATGGTTAACCATTTTTTTAATGGTAAGACAAGATCCCTTTGAGTTCAGATAATTTATTGGGGAGAAAATAGACAGACCATCTAATAATTTCGGGACTAAATTTGTAATTTAACTTAGTCTTGGAGAGGAAACATAAATATCATACATAACCACAACGCAGCCTTGAAATTATCATAAATATCTGCCATAGAAAAAAAAAAACAATCTGAAACATCTTCTTGTCATCTGCATCTGCTCTGCTTCTAATCAACTGTTTCTTTCCTTCAAACAAATGCACAAATGAATTTTTTTCTTCTTCTAAAGCTTATGAGTATAAAACTATGACAGTTTTATGAGGAACAACAAAAAATGTCCAAAAAATCTAAAAGAAAACTTGTAGAAACTCAATCAACATTCTGTGAACAAAACCGATTCATGTTCACATACTTCCATGACTCTTCTTCATTCTTTTCAACCGCAACAAAACGGGTTTTTGCAGCACGGTGACATTGATGTTGTTCCAAATGTCGGGCTTGGTAGGGAGTTGAGCAATTTTCTCTGCAATCTCCATGTCTTCTGGGAGAACTGAACCGAACACAGTGTACACTTTGTTCCATTCTTGGTGGTTTGCAAGACTTATGAAGAATTCTGGTCCAGAACCGACCCACGCTACCGAACCGCGCTTTATGTACGGGCAAACTTCAGTCGGAATCTTCTTAAATGGAATCCCTTGGACTTCCAGTGTTCCTTGAACAAGTGCAAAAGGAGGACCTAAAGGAGCCTGGTTGTTCAAAGAAATTTGAATGAATTATGGTTTCAAAGTCATTCTTAAAAATTGAGATTCTGTGATTTGTAGAGTTTACGGTTTAAATCACTATTTACAAGTCTGTGATGTAGGAAAAAAAGTAACTTCTATTGTTCCATGAAAATATGTTATCCACTCAAAAGAAACAAAATTTTTTACTAGATTTTTGTTTTAGAAACTGAGTTCAGTTTGATAACCATTTTGTTTTCCAGTTTTATTTTCTCTGAAAACTAAGCTTACAAGTTACAACGACTACTACCACCTATATCTTCCTTTTTCGTTATCAATTTTAAAAAGATGTGTGATGAAGAAAGGTACAAAACATAATAAAGAAATTATGAGAAAACAAGCATAATTTTTAAAAACATAAATCTAAAAATGAAATCATTATCAAACGTGCAATAAAAAACTAAACTGATCATGAAGAGAGCTTGCAAACAGCAATTATGACTGAAAGCTATGGCTTGTAAACACTTCATTCCTTTCAGTGGCAAAATATAAGCCTTATTCTTTCTAATGACCAGCATTAATATCCACATCATGAAATATGACAATGAGAAAACTGCAGTTATGAATCCTTACATTTTCGATGTGGTTTCCTTCCGAGTCCCAAGATTGACCTCTACCCTCTGCACGATAAAAGTGACAACCAGCACAGTGTCGTAACGACAATAACTCAAGAATGTAGGCAACTGAATTGGGAGCACAGTCAGGGAAGAGCTGCAAAAATTCAGTAATTTTCACAATCACTG